CTCTGGGCCTGGGCGCTGTCCCTCAGCTCTTCAGCTCAAGGCTAGCGCTCTACCACTTGAGTCACAGTGCCCCACTTCTGGCTTTTTTCATTTTGCTTATGTGGTGCTGAGGAATCGAACCCAGGGCCTCAGGCTTGCAAGGCAAGCGCTCTACCACTGAGCCAACTTCCTAGCCCCCTTGAGACTCTTATCTCCAATTAACTGCCAAAAAGCCAGAAGCAGAGATGTGGCTCAAGTTATAGAGTGCTAGCCTTGAGCAAATGGCTCAGGGACAGTGCCCAGGTCCTGAGTTCAAGCTCCAGGATTGCCACACAAAATACTACTACTACTACTACTACTACTACTGCTGCTGAAATAAATAGTACTAAGTGTAACAAAATAGTTCAGGACAAACACTGAAAAGTACATTGTTGAAAGGTAATTAAAGACATAAATAGCCCGGTGCCCGTGGCTCACGCCTGTAATCCTAGCTACTCAGGAGGCTGAGATCTGAGGATCATGGTTCAAAGCCAGCCCCGGCAGCAAAGTCTGTGAGACTCTTATCTCCAATAAACCACTAGAAAACTGGAAGTGGTGCTGTGGCTCAAGTGGTAGAGCGCTCGCCTTGACCTGAAGAGCGCAGGGACAGCGCCCAAGGCCAGAGTTCAAGCCTCACAATGGACCAAAAAAAAAAAAAAAGACATAAATAAATGAAACATTACCTGTGTTAAAAAAAGAAAGAAATTCCTGAAGGTCTTTTGCAAAATACCTTTTTTGTGGTCTGATTTTATTCTTATTTTATTCATTTTTTTATTGTGAAAATACCGCACAGAGGGGTTACAATTACATGAGCAAGGTAATGGGTACATTTCTTATCAAGCATTGTTGCCTCCTCCTTTGTTTCCCCTTCCCATGCCTTCCCATCTCCCCTATCCAATGCCCAAGGAATATTTCTTATTTTGTTACACAGAATTAAAACAGAAGTCAATTTTATTCCCAAAATTTAACTCAAGTACCCACAATCCCATTATCCAGTTTATAAGATATCCACAATCCCATTATCCATTTTTATTAGTTAATCTGAAATCTAAGAAATTGTAAAAATAATTGTGCCAACAGCAGCTCACAATATGAAACACCACAATATTGGATGATTTAGTTGTCATAGAAAAAAATTCAGTCCCCAGACACACTGACTACCTTTCTCCTTGTCAAAGGCAGATTGGATGACCTAGATCCCCTAGAGAGATAATCTCTGAAGTAGGTTGACTACTAAACTACTGGACTAGTTCAATTACAGAGAAAATCTGGCCCCAATGGTAGCAAGGAATGACACATAAGAGAATGTTAACACTTTTATTTTCAAAAGCTGGATATTTCATATAACACTTTCTGAGAAAATAAGATAAGTATAAGTTAAACGAACCCTATATTTTAAACACAGTAAGAATGCGTAGAAGCTTTCACATGAGTTTACTCAAACTTTATTTAAGTACAATGTAATTAAATTGGGAATTTTGATGGATAATTTCTGCCTTCACAAAATGAAAGCTCTTTTGCAGGTTTTTAGCCATTTATTTTCTTAAAATTTCCAGTCTCTATGTATGTGCTAGGGTTTGATCTCTTAAGTGGAAGGTAAGTTTCATAGAAGGTTATGAGTTATATTTTTTGGGTGTTACACATAGCACTAAAGGACTATTTGCCTTCTTATGATCAATAGAAAACAAACTAATACCAACAGAAAAGGAAATGGGGACCATCTAAAGGTCTTATCTTGTTCAAATAGCACTCACTTTGACATTCAAGTTCATTCTTCATTGAAAATTATAATTGCTTCTAATCCCCTTAGAAAAGGAAAACAGAACAAAATGTAGAAATGTATAGGTAGGTGATTCTTTAGCCTTCAGTGGATCCACATTTTTGGCTGCAAAAGACTACATCAACCCCTGAGCCTTTTGTTTTATTCTGGCTATGATCACGTCACCTGTTCAAAAATAAAAATTGTCCTTGAATATTATCCTTTCTTTCACCACAAAAGAATTGACCAGCACCTTTCACAATGAATACATATCATATATATATATATATATATATGTATACATACATATATATATATATATATATGTACACACAGACACATACATGGAGAATGAGACAAAACATTTATAACCTCTGAACTTTTTAGGTCGACATATACATCTCCATTACTAGTTCTAAAATTGTAGGTCTCTAGATTCATTCTGGAATCTCTCTGTTTACTGAGTTAGTTCATGGCAGTGTTTTGCAAGACCTGTAACTTCCCTCACCCTTTTCCTAGGACCCCTATAAGCTAGTTAGTCCAGGGTTAATTTTCACTTCAGCTTCTTCCGTTTAAAATTTCATATCATGAGGTTCTATTATGTTTAAAAAGGATTGATCCAGCAACTCAAACACCCACACAGAGAAGAAAAGTTTCCATCTCATAAAGCGAACATTCATCACTCAGTCTTTTAATATGCCATAGAGCGTTCCATTTAGAATTTCCCTTAAAATATATATTCTTCACATGAAGCTGTCATAAAAAAGGAGAGAATATCTTCTCTGATTTCAAAGCTATCAAAGTAGATTTTAAAAAAACCCACAAAACTACTTCCCAAACCCCAGGGGTAGTTTACTTGAAGGGCAAGTACATTCAATTGGGAAAAGTCAAATTTGATTTATATTTGAATGTTTATCAGTAGTACCAATAAATTCAACTGACTGATGATGTGAACAACTACTATGAGCGCTAATTATAGCACTGTAACTCAGTAAAGCTGCAGCCCATTGTCTCAATTACTGAGATCACATGGGCAAGTTGTTTAATTTGTTTTGTCCCACTATCTAGCCAACAGCTTTCCAGGACACATATTCTCAAGAATGATTCAGAATCTGTTGCTGTCTTGAAGCCGTATACTAGAAAAGGTAGCCAAGAAGTAATTGCATGTTATACTGAACAGAAAATAATTTGGGGCTTCAAAATATGTATATGGAATGAAGCCTGCCTGCCCATTGTAGAAAACTTAGTCAGTTCATGTGAAAATATGTATTACCTGTAATCATAGATAGATAAAATCAGTGTGTGTGTATGTTATGCAACATTATGTCAGTAATGCACTTGTTACAATTTAGAACCTTCTTCTGGTCTCTTGCTGTTCTTGTATATTATTATTATTATGCTAGAGCAAGTGATTGCTATAAGGAATTTGTAATTGCAGCCATAATGTTCCTGGAAATGCTAAATAATGTCTTAATTTTAATTCATGAACTTTTATTTTAAAGCAATTAAACTTATTGTTGATTGATATTTGCCATTCCATGTTCTTGGAATTGTTAAAGAATATGCTTTATATATATTCTTCCATTGCTTGAAAATGGTTATTTGTTGTTACAGCATTCAGTTGAGTTTTCAAACCAAAGGACTGAAATTACAGCAATTTCACTTGAAATCCATAAATCCATGCAGAGGAGTGTGTTGAACAGAATCACTAGATGCTATTTGTTATGCAAAGATGAGTGAATCAATAGAAAAATAGGAGGAATAGATCATTAGTACTTTAATGCAGAGTAGAGAGGAAAACTAATAAATCATGCATTCCAAGCACTAGTTTTCCTTAATGTGTGTTTGAACACATAAGACATGCAATGTTGAGAGGCAGGTCAATATGAATGAACAATATCCAAGATTGCTCAAGATTATTTCACTTTATACCACAGGCTTAATGAAATACTAAGAAAAGTAGAAATCTTATGATTTCTTTAAACAACCAGAGAATTCAACCATGCAATGAACCCTTTAGACAGTGATTGAAGTCATTGCATGTTTTCAAATAAACGACTGGAATGTCACAGGGATGGGATGGGTAGGTGAATAGAAGAGGGTTAATTGCATGCATGATTTGCTTCAATGAGCTCAATGTTGTGATGTTGTTGCAGGGACCAATTTATACTAGAAGGCACCTGATACAATCATTTACTTTCTTCAAGTGCACTGAACTGATCAATTAAAAGTGATATATACCAATATTTGTAAAGGATCTAATAACCAAAGGGTTGTTAATCCTAACAAATGGTTTACTCACTCAATCTTCTAGTATTTAAATTGTCATAAAATTAATCACATGAATCATAAATTCACTCCACAATGCTGATTTGATTATGGGGTAACTCATTTCTCTCAAACATCTTTCCTCGAATCTTTTGGTGGGAAACACATTAACTAGGTACATGATTTAAAAGACCTATTTGTTTACTGGTAAAATTGTGAGTTTTCTTCTGGATTTTCATACACAAAAGAATAAATCTTGTCCTATTACCATAATTTACTGCCAAGTAACATATTTTTATTCAGTTTTTTTGAATTAGTAACTAAGCCTAACAAAATTAAAAAACAAAAAAGCTTTTCTGTTTTTCTGTACAAGAAAACCCTATGCTGGCTTATTTTAATTTCCACTCAGAGAATTAAGATGCTGAAGGAAAAGTATTCAGGTATAATAAGGTATTACAGTCAACTATTTAATAAAAGAAAATCTTTAAAGTTTTAAGTCATAGGTCAATGGTCATTGATACTCTGATTCTAAAAAGAAGTCTAGCAACTGGCACATGTGATCATTGTAGGATTATTGATAAGTACTTATTAATGATTGGAGCCATATTGAGAAACATGATTCCTACGGCATTTCCTTTTTATGTTTCACAGGTTGGGAAGTGAAGATGTAGTAAGATGGGTGGGAGACATAAAAATCTATGGGAATGCATGCAACCAAAATATGCAGTATCACTACATGTGCACTTCTGCTGACTTCATGCAATGATGCCTATAAAAGTAGAGACAATAAAATTTTTAAGAGCTAGATTTCATATTAGCTCAGTAACAAAATGGTTAAACCAATTTCAAGATTTTGCATGAGCAGGAGACACAAAATGGTTCAAAGAATCCCAGCATAAATGTTCCATGGACCCAATTGTACTCATTGGTTTCCTACAAATGGAGTGCTAGAGAATCATTCTTTGCTTCGGTTCCTTGTTCTTTTGACCAGGGAGCAGAATAACCCGGTTTTTGGAGGAGGGCCCATTAACATTGGAGCTTGGTTCTTGTGTGTTATTTTTATCTAGGAAAAGAGAGAGAGAGAAAGAAGTAAAGCAATGCAATTTACAATGCAATATCTGAGAATCTCTATTAAAGTCAAAAGTTATTTCATATATTACCAAATATTTCATAAATGCCAGAAGTTAAAAATGAAGTTTCAGAATTTTATTAATGAACATTTTAAAAGGAAATAACATTGTGCATTTAAATAATATTCCCATGCCAAAGGTACTACTAAGAGAAAATAAAGCCTAGTAGAAGTCACAGTCTAAATATCACATTATCTCTAACTTCACATATAATAGTATCATACTCCAAACTCCATATTCAGGCTATTTGCTTATCCAGTATAATTTATTGCCAATTAGTTATATATTATTTATTGAAAGCAGGAAAAGATGCACCATTACTCATATATACTTAGTATCAAGCAAATCTTATTTATCTTGCTAATCAGATTGTTTCTCTCTTTCAACACGAACTACACAGCTTAACTTCAAAACAATCATTAAGAATGAAAGTCAAAAGTTAACATGCATGAAAGGTCAGAAATGATGAACTAGCTTTCTAATTCGTTAATTAATTGGTAATAGAATACGATCAAATATTGAAAAGCCTGCTTAAGACTCTTGGAGAGACTGTTATAAAGCTACTCGTTTTGATTTCTTTGATATAAAACTACGAATCACCTTAAATGAGACAACCTTAAAGTAGATTATGTCTGCAATTTTCTCTAATTCAACTCTAAATTAGGGAAGACATTTTATGAATATATGCTATGCTCAAAGCTAATTGAAAGCAATTATGAAAGTGGCATTTTGTCTGTGACTTTAAGATACATTGTAAGATAATAAATGATTCTCATTATGTAATAAAAAGGTCATATCTTGCCTTTGGGCTAGTGTCACTAAGAGTTTTTCAAAAGCAATCAGAGACATTTTCTTTAGTGAACTGCAAGTAATCCAAGAACCATCGCTTATTAAATATCAGTTGTCACCTGCACAGCCTTCGAAACAGAGATGAGTATTTCTTTCAGAAAGAAACACCATCTCATTAAAAGCTGCAAAGAATATATCTCTTAAAGTGCATGCCTGACATTTTCAAGTTAAAATGAATATCCTTCACTTGTCATTCACTAATAGCGATAAAACAAAAAAAAAGTTTGTCATGTGGACAAGATCATTAAAATCAGTTACTAGGGCTTTTGGGAAAAGGAAATTCACCTCATAGTCTAGAAAGAGAGAAGTATGTAAAAAAAAAAACACCTTGAAATAATGAACAACTTTATTTAAGTCTGTTGGAAACTGATTATACTGGAGATTCCGTGTTCTTCTTTTGACTGTAAAAAATCAATTGTACTTGTAAAGGCCACAAAGCTAAGACAGGCTCAAATTCTCTGGATAACCGACTTTATTTCTGACATCTCATGAACTGGGAATTAATAGCCAGACAGTGAAGATGTCCAAATGCCCCCATCTATGTAGACTGAAAATGGTCTCTCCCAGATTTTCTATCTTAATTATTCACTATTACAGTATACTAACCCTAAATTGTAAACCACTGGTTTTTAAACTTCTCTCCATTCTTATTTTAAATAGACTCAAATATAGTGGTATTCATTACTCATCCATTTCACAAAGTTTATTCAGCTCCTATTACACTTCAAAAATTATACCAGAAACTGAGAATCAAATAGATAGCACATCCTCTCTTCTCCTCAGAAATGATTGTCCTATAGAAAAGAGAAACTGAAGAAGTATATTCAATACTGTAAGTTGAAATAGGAGGCTGAGCACAAAGGTACACTTTTAAATTCTATAAATGAAAATGAATTGTTTTACACAAAGTATTTTAAATGAGTACTTGGGGAAGCAGCTTTCCTATATTACTTGTACAATAACTTCAGGTTCAAAAAACTAGTGAATAAAATCAGAAGAGTGCTTTGATTTACAGGTGCTGGATTATTTTGGAATGTAGATAGTATTAGGATATTTTGGAAAATGATATGATTAGTACCAAATAAGATTTTCAAAAGTATTCACCTTTGCTACTCATTTATATGAAATATGAATCAGTTTGTGACAAAGTAAAATATTTCACTCAATTGCTACATATGAGATTTAGGTTTTTTTTCTTTAGGTATTTGGATTTTATATGATTATGACTATTCTTATGTTGGCCATCTTTTTTTTTTTTTGAAGAAATCATTTGTTCTTATTCCTTTGAAAAATAGCACTTTCTCACTTAGAGATTATTATATAATAGGGACTTTAACTCATGTATGGTCTAGTTTCTGGTTCCAAAGTAGTTTAATAATGGCCTGTCCAATTTGCGATTAGTTATAACCTATTTTTGAATGTGTGTATGCTGCTATTGGGGCTTGAATTGAGGCCCAGGTAACTGCCTTGGGTTTTTCATTCACAATTGGCACACTTGAGCCATAACGCCAGCTAACTTTTTTGTTGGTCTATTGAAGATAAGTCTTTTGAATATATCTGCCTAAGCTGGCTTCAAACCTTGATCTTGAGATGATCTCAGCTTCCTGAGCAGCTAGGACAACAGGCATAAATCACTGGAGCCTAGTTTAGACATAAACTATTATTTTGAGTGTTTAAACTCTCCTACCATCAACATGCAATATTCCTTTTTAGTCTAAATTTACTTCTGTAGAGACTAAATTCATACCCCTTTTGTCTGTTGCTTATGGAAATGAAAAACAATAGATTATATTTTCCTCATGATCAAGGAGAATATATGAAAGAAACTAAAATGCACAACATGTCTCGTATATGTGAAAATTCCTTTGAAACTTTATTGTATGTGAGATAATTACATGTCTTTCTATACTTGGGTGGAAGTAACTACTCCATTAAGAATGAAGTTAAAATGTCTGCATAAAAGTGAAGAGCATTATTTTAAAATACAAAAGAAATGTTGTCATGATCAGAAAGATGTTCTTCTAAGGACACAGTTCATTTCTTCCAATCACCTACTCTTCTGGAAGGCCTCCATTGCAAAGAAAGACGGTTTTATTGCTATGACTCTTTCTGTTTTTGTTTTCCTATCTCAAATGGATTGGCCATATCTATAACTAGAAAGCTGAAAAAAAATGATAATTGTTCTATACGAACTAAGGATATACATAAAAAACCAGTAACCAATGTGATTTTCCTGTTTCTATTGCATTGTTAAGGTGGAATAGTGTAATAGTTTTATCTCATAATTTCAATATTATAAATAATACATCCTATGATGATGTGTCAGTTAAAGTAGCAATAGTAAAACAACTTTTATTTGGCTTTTATGGTTCCAAGTTTCATTCTAAATGCTGTATGCATGTTTACCAGGATGCTAACCATTTCATCCAACTCCTGGAGTCATTCTCAGGAAAAGGCTACTTGCAGAGGAATATTACTAAAAAGTGTAGACTTGAAGGATGATTTCATAAATATCACATATTTCATAAAAATTATATAGAGGTTGCCTACATTTTTTGTAGGGGGCTATGGTAAACGGCTTTAGGCTTTATGGATTATGGAGTCTCCATTATTCCAATCAACACAGTCATTATAGACTAATGTCAGGCTTGGACTACTAGTAAAATAACTGAGGATAACCACGTTCCCATAAAAATTATTTGTGAAAACTAAAAGTTAAATTTACGTAACTTTAACACTATGGGATATTACTCTTCTTTGGAGATTTTTCAAGCATTTAAAGAAAGTGAGCTATTGTGATCCTCTTCTAGGACTATCCTAGCCATATACATATGACCATATAAGATGATGCTAAGCAAAATGGTCTCCAAGATAAGGAAACAAGAGGTTTTCCCTTGTTGTTGTTGTTGTTAATGCACTGTGTGAAGTTATTTCTTTTTTCTTTCATTTTCCCCCTATTGTAACTGTATTTTATTTTGGTACCCTGTGTCTTGTCTATACATTTATCTGAATTGGGGAAGGGGAGGGGAACAACAAAATGGTGAGACAAAAGACAAAGGGAGAAGCAATGTGACAGTGATACTCACAAGACACTATGTTGCAAATGAACTTTACAACCTGGGGGGCAGGGGAATGGGGGAGGAGGGAAAGTGGGAAACAATGATGGAGGTGGTAACAATGTTTGACAAGAAATGTACTTATTACCTTATGTATGTAACCTCTCTGTATATCACCTTGACAATAAAATTAAATTAAAAAAATGAAAACAAAGATATAGTGAGAAGCATTCTTAACAAAAATACGAATCTAAACAGATTTGGCATTCAGGTTATAATTTGCTGAGCTTTGAAGTAATTAAGTAAATTATTGAGTATTAAGTCTACAGAACCATGAGTAATAAAACAATAGAAATTTTATTTTTAAAATCATGCTTTATTGGAACAACAGGTGAAAGATGAATGTATGTGGAGATAATTTCTGTGGTATATATTTTACTCTAGTGCTACCATTAGAATTTATTCAGTAAAAGAATCTGGATTGGAATACATAAAAACAGTCCCCAATTTTGGTGATGTAGTAACTGATCAAATTTGGCTTCAGTGGATGATCTCTTTAACTGATTTTCCTTCCACTGAATTTGAGTGAGCTGAATAATACCATGGTTCCTACAAACTACCACAGCAGGTAGCATTTTCCTTAATAAAGATTCTTCCCATGTCTAGCTAAATTTTTCTCCCTGCTTCATCTCTTCAAGAATTTGTCATCCAGACTTTTCTTTTGGCTTCCTTAAGAATAGGGTTTTCAGAACAAAAAAGAAATTCTATAAAAAATGTCTGTGGGAAAATAATTAATTTAGTAGTTATCCAGAACACTCAGAGTTACCTAGCATGAGTCTAGAATGAGACTGTATCCTTCCACAATGCCTGCAGCTCAGCGATATGACATGGGGGATAAAGTACATGCTAGATTTTTCAGTTCCATAACTGCCAAAGAAAACCCATAGCAATAGAATTTATCAATTTTCTAAAGTAACTTCCCAGGTTTTTATGATTCTAGCCATTATTTTCGGGATTGGCAGTAATTT